GGAATTAAACGTGATTGGATATATATATATGATGGCATACAAATGGAATTAAACGTGATTGGATATATATATATGATGGCATACAAATGGAATTAAACGTGATTGGATATATATATATATGATGGCATACAAATGGAATTAAACGTGATTGGATATTTATATGATGGCATACAAATGGAATTAAACGTGATTGGATATTTATATGATGGCATACAAATGGAATTAAACGTGATTGGATATTTATATGATGGCATACAAATGTATTAAATGTGATTGGATATTTATATGATGGCATGCAAGTCGACTAAACTGATTGTGGTTCTTTCAGGATCACATAAAGTATATCTTACCGAATTTGTTTCCGTTGTTTACAAATATGTGAATTAAAGGCCAAGCCGAAATTATAAGTGAAAATCGGCAGTACAAGGTGGTGAAAACAAAGTTGATATGGTAGGTGGCGTTTAGCTAGTGTTAACCTGGCGACAAAAGTACGAGGGAGTTAAGAAATACATGAGTTATATAAGTAATTATGAAGCCCGATCTATCATTCGATTAAATATTTGTTATTGAGTTATATGTTAACAGCTTGTCTGCTTAATAATTTAAAATAATAAATAATAAGCATCAATTCTACATATTTTTTTAAAACCTATGAAATATAGGTTTACTATGGTGAGCGAAAGAAAACTAAAAACACCATACATGTATTTTTCTCATACTGTTTGGTTTAGAAAACAACTTTATTATGTGCATTCAATACTTTCGTAACGTCTTAAGCTAAGTTTGGTTTGTTTGGAATTTCGCGCAAAGCTACACGAGGGCTATCTGCTCTAGCCGTCCCTAATTTAGCAGTGTAAGACTAGAGAGAAGGCATCTAGTCAACACCATGCACCGGCAACTCCTGGGTTACTCTTTTACTAACGAATAGTGGAACTGACCTTATCATTATAACGTACAAACAGCTGAAAGGGCGAGCATGTTTGGTGTGATAGGGATTCGAATTCGCGACCCGCAGATTACGAGTCGAGTGCCCTAACCACCACTAAAGCTAAGAGTCAGGGTTTACTTCAAGAATACCTACCTTCTGTGTATGAGCATCTTTGGAGGAACTGGTGATTCTTGTTCATGGCAGAGGGCGCTACCTTCACCACTCGTGATACATGGGTTACTGATTACCCGAGGAAGAGACGTGATGTCTTGCGAACGACAAGATTTTCTGTTTTTAATAACGGCATGTTCAGTCATTCCCACCTGCTTGGCTTTGACTGATATTAAATCTGGAAAGGAAAAATTATAAGACTGTCTCCATTAATAACTTCTAAGAAGCTTCTAGCTAATATCTTTACGAATTATTCCATCTAATACACACACGCGCACAAAGAGACAGACAGATATATATATATATATATATAAGATCTGAAGTGAACATTGAAAAAATTATTTTAATTGTGTTTAAATCCAATAAAAATTAATCAGGTTCATAATTAGAATTATCATCATAAATAAAAATCATTACCCTGATTTAATTCTTCACGAAATTGAAACATAAAATTAAATAATTTGATTATTGATTAATTGTATTGTAATTGTAAAGTAATAAAACCTTAATTATTTGCTCATTTAATTGTTTAACGCAAAGTTCCACGATGGATTATCTGCGCTTTGTCCATCACGGCGAATCCAGCTCCAGATTTCAACGTTGTAAAGTCCGTAAGCTTATCACTGACTCACGGGGAGGGGAAGGGGGAAAATTAGCCTAGGAATGTTATATTACGTAATCTCAAGTGTATACATTATTACGTTAAATACCTGATAACTTCATTCTACTACTAATAACTAATAATCGTTACATTACTGAAGTAACAAAAGTACCTTTATTAAGTAACACAATTACAAGTATTAAGTAACAAAAGTACCTTTATTAAGTAACAAAATTAACTGTATTAAATAACAAAAGTACCTTTATTAAGTAACAAAATTAACTGTATTAAGTAACAAAAGTACCTTTATTAAGCGATAACTGTTGTTAGTCCAGAACAATGTTTCAAGCTTCAAAGTGTTGAAGTTATCATTGCAAAGGTAGTTGACGAGCACGTACAATAACGGTATTATAGTAAAAAAAAAAAAAACTTCATCTATTGACTTTTGTAAACACAAAAACTCTGCTTATTCTGTATAGATTACGGAGAGTATTTTAATTTGGCAAATTAACATATATGTGGCCTTTAAAAAATGTAACCATTTAAACAATGGTCAACGTTTATGAATTATTAATCAGAACTCCCGAGCGAAAGGAAAGTAGAGTTATAATAATATCAACCACACTATATATATATATATTCTACATCCTATACCCACGAGGCCTTTCCACCAACACCACATATATCGATTCTTCTAGAGTTACAATAACCACCAACATGTTTGAATTCTTCATACAACAGTCCTTTCTATTATTATCATTGATTACTAAAATCTCGGAAATAATAGTAAATCTGTGGTATAAGATGATTCAAAATTATCAAACAGAAATGTTTTATTGCACCATTATTCCGCTTGTTTGTTTGTCCCTCGTGAACTTCACAATTCCAAAAATAGTTTGTTGTTGTTTTGTGGTAAAGGTAATGCCATTATACTTTGACGCATGCTCAATACATTTATTTTTGAGTAGCAGATAACGTGAGATGTCAACGCTTTCAACCAAAGAAACAAATCGGCTCTCCATATTTGATATGGACGTTATACTAAACGAAACGCTTGTATATTTCCGATATCCATTAGATAACGGCGTTACATGTTCAAAAATGAAAAAAAGGGGATCTTAATAAACGTTTACGAATTATTTTTCTGCAGCAATAAAACCTCCTAAGCCTCGTTTATATTGACAGCAAATCAATAAACATGTCTGCAAATCAAGTTTACGAGATAGTCAAACAAACCATCAGTAACGTCTATCTCAATCTTCTAAAACACATCTCAGAAAGTAGGAGAACAATTTCCAGTGTTTTTATTATGTCTAGACTTATAACTTCGGAGTTCATCGGATGAATAAATACTACTTTCAGAAGAGTAAAGCAAATAACCTTGTTATTGTGCTCTTTCTGGTCTCTCCAAAAAGAGCAGGAATTTGTTGTTTGTTTTAGCGCAAGGCCGCAGAATGAACTATCTGCTCTAGTGGTAAGCTATCTGCGCTCGCCGTCCCTAATTTAGAAATGAATAGACAAGAGGGAAGGCAGCTGATACCAACCACCGCCAAATCTTGGACTACTCTTTTACCAATGATTTCCTCGGTGGGAAAACGACAAGTCTACAGACTTACAACGTTAAAATCCGAGATTCGATTCCCCATCTACGAAAAAAAAAATACAAACGAAAAGTGGAATTGACAGTCACGTTATAGCATCCTCACGGCTGAAAGGTGACTGGATTCGAACCCGCGACTCGCAGATTGCGAACCGAATGCCCTAACCACCAGGACATGCCAGGTCTAGTTAGTTAAGTAGGGCCTATAATAAACAAAACTACGAACTATGTTATTTGTGATAACGCATGGGGATCTTCCATTGTAAGAAAACGCAAATATGATAAACCCGGATAGGCTATAACCAGACTAAAGGCAGTCCAGGAATTTGTCATACAAATTTTGATTTTATAATCATAAATTTAAAGGCGGTAAATCTTAGTGACGATGAAGGTCTTTCTTAAGTTGTAACAAAATAGGTCAAGGTAGCTACAGCTGAATGTATCATCTCGTCTGGGATTTATGTTTCTCGACAAATGCTAGGGTTAAATGCGACTGTCAAGGTAAAATGCGACTGTCAGTAGAATTGTGCAGCCAGGTGGACTTCAGTAACCGCTTGCGTTTTGTTTATTTCGGATAGTCGCGCGAAGTTTTACAAGGATTATTCGTCCCAACTATTGATGTTTTTTTTTGTATTTGAATTTCGCGCAAAGCTACACCAGGGCTATCTACGCTAGCCGT